AGTTGTTAAAATGAGGCTTTTAATAATAATTTAATATTTAAACCATTAAAAAACGATGTATTGGTCAATAATACGAATGCGTTGAGCACTTACGTTATATTTAAGTTACTTCATATATATATATTATAGATAGGTCCGACAAATGACTCCACCCCACCTGATGTTAAGTGAAGGTGAAGTCCAGACGCGAAGATAGCTGATACAGCAGTTCTACCTGCCACACCAGCCATCCTCACCCTGCCGGCCTGCATGTTGCTTCTACACGCCTCTTTTAAAGGATCCCAGGTTGTAAGAGGGAGGGAACGCGTGAGCGGGCAGAGCATTCCATTTACGGATAGTGCGACAAAGAAATGAGTCACCAAATTTCTTTGTACGCGTTGGAATTGTGGCTACAGTAAGACGGTGACAATGTAGGCCAGCGCGCGTGGTCCTCTGAAGGAAAGGGGAAGGTGGGATAAGAGAGAATAACTCCTCAGAACACTCGCCGTGGTACAGACGATAGAACGCGCTTAGTGACGCCACGTCACGGCGTAATTGAAGAGGCTCAAGGTGTTTAGTCACCTCCTCATCGCCTATGATGCGGATCGCGCGCCGCTGTAACCTATCCAAAGCATCGAGCAAGTACTTGGCGGAGCTATCCCAGAGGTGCAAGCAATATTCCACGCAGGACCGCACTTGCGTTTTGTACAACAAGCACAGTTGATCGGGCGTGAAAAGTGAAAGAACGCCGCACCTTGTTTAGGACTCCGAGTTTGCGTGAAGCTGTTTTGATCACGGTTTCGAAGTAGTCCTTTGGATTCAGGTCTGAGTGAACTTCTATACCGAGCATGAAAATGTTGCTCTGTAGCAGTAGTGTTGTGCCCTGAAGATGATAAATAAATAAAATAAATATAAAATAAGATGACGGGTCAGGTGGTTATTAAGGAGCTTTTCTAGAACTTTACATAAAACTGAGATGACTGCTATTGGCCGGTAGTTTGCCGGTAGTTTGCCGGGTCTGAGCGATCCCCTTTTTTGGGCACCGCTTGCACGTAAGCATCTCTCCAAGTCTCCGGCACACGCCCCAAAGATTACGAGCATTGGTACAAGCGCGTGAGCACGGGAGACAACTCCGTTGCACATTTTTTCAGTGGGATGCCATCAGGTCCACTAGCTTTCCGGACGTCGAGTGATTGCAATTCGGCACGAACCTCACACTGCCTGATTTTAATATCAGGCATCGTTGTGCAACAGTGAGGTAATGATGGTGGTAGTGCATTGCAATTATCGATTCGGGAGTTAGCCACAAAGAGTTTTGCCAGTAAATCGGCTTTCCTCGGGATCCTTGAGAGCGCGGCCTCTGACCCTATATATATATATATATATATATATATATATATATATATATATATATATATATATTTATTATTTTTTTTTATATATGTTAATAATGAAACTATTAATTTCTCATATTTCATGAAATATATCCTAACTTTTTTATGTATATCAGCGTCATGTCATTATATTACATGAAAGATCTTATAATTAATTGTTTTTAAAAGTTTTTGATATAATAACATGTAAATTAAAATTATTTGTGATAACAATATAAAAACAATAACATAAACATTATTTTTTTTGTGAGTTTTCAATTGATATTTTATAAAAAAACATGCTTTTCCAAAAATGTCATAAAAATTGTTTAAACAATATAAAAAATTATTTCCCCCTCTCCAGAGGTTTCTGATTTCAAATAATATAAAAAATCAAAATTATTAAAAAAAAATGGGTGCGTGTACTTATGTAGGCGCGTGAGAAGTTATCCTTCTTTGGCATCGTTTAAAATTAGTTTTTAATTGCATGCAAATAATTGATTACAATAAATTAATAAAAAGTCTGGAAAAGGACACAGTCAATAAAGTGCAGTTTTAATTTGAAAAAAATAAATAAATAATCAAAATATTCAATTAAAATCGCTACTGAATATAATTTATTAGAACATATGTGATTTGCACTTGTATGAAACTCAAACACGTATTCCGAATATACAAACTAGAAACATGTGGATAAATATTATAAATATGAATACCTATAACTGTTACTTTATTACAAAAAATAAAGATGTGGTTTTTGGTGCTACTACACCAATGGTCAAGAGATGGCGCTGTAGTCTCCTGAATCGCGCTTTGGTTCCGTTGTTCCAGATTAATAAATACTTTTGATATTATAAATATGAATACCTATAACTGTTACTTTATTACAAAAAATAAAGATGTGGTTTTTGGTTCTACTACACCAATGGTCAAGAGATGGCGCTGTAGTCTCCTGAATCGCGCTTTGGTTCCGTTGTTCGAGATTAATAAATTCTTTTGATAGGCCTTCACAATGCAGTCGTTAGCACCCACTAAATAGAGATTCTATTTTGTTGGTAGATTTTCTTAATGTGCGGTAAACACAAAAGTAACGCATGAAGTTGGTCGCTAAAGCGAGCAACTTCATGCTGTTAAAATTTTGTGTTACAGTGATGCGCGCGCATCTTAAAATTTCACTCTTATCATTTTTTCATAACGCGCCTAAAGAAGTATAACTTCAAAAATCATCAAAATCGAAGCTGTTCCACCGGGTTTCCAGGTAAAAAGCTTCATTGACTCGACTAATGATGAAATCTATAAACGCTAAAGAATTTCCTCAACAAATATTTCGCCCTTGTCCTTTACCTCGTGATACTCTTTGAGTTCTTTTTCTACTTCTTTTATTAATATTTTACAATCAATATCCTTTGATTATTTACTCTCTAGATAAAGCGTGGGAGCGCAGATGCGTTGAAAAAAATATCTACCACTTGGTGGGGTCTAAGTCGTTTTCCGTCACTTAGTGTGCAATGCAATGCTGGGCGATACGCACATTTTGCTTATAAATGCGGAGTTGCGCGATAAAAGTTTGCCAAAATTATAAAGGACGCATAAAAACAACCAACAAAGTCACTGTCTAAGAAATTCTCGACTACCATCCAATATGCCATCTTGTCTTAAACTTGAAAGTAACTTACGGATACTTGGAACGTTTTTTTATATTGTATAAAGGGATGTAAACTACTAAATAAAAATATAAAAAAATCATGCATATTCCCTATTGCGTTTTGGTATTACTGATATTAAAATCGTTTCGTTATATTTTATCACGTTTATTTAATCCCTCCCCCCCCCCCCCTTATGTAATAAAAGGTGTTACGTATTTAATATGAAAATTCAACATACTACGTTTTTATTAGATATGTTTGCCAATCTTCTTTCAAATCAAGGGGTCAATCCTAAAATAATAAAAAAAAAACAAAAATATTGACACTAATTGAATGGATTGTTAAGATATTATCAATTGCGAACGTGAACTATTTAAGTACTTAGGGGCGTATTCCCATTATCTCGTGACGACAGATTATCTTGTCCTTTAAAGCATCGTGGCTTTTATATTTAAATGGAGAGGTGTTCACATACCTTTATTCTCATTTGTTCGATTCATTAGTTCGATCGTCGAACTAGTGAGATTTTTTTTCTCATTAGTTCGATCGTCGAACTACTGAGATTTTATTGTTCTCATTTGTTCGACCTTCGTCAATATTGAATCCATAAACATTTATAAAAATCACTATTTAGAAAAAAGTACCAGGAAACCATACACTGACGGTGTTCATACCTAACACCAAACTTTTTAATGTACGCAAGTTTTATTCGCGATCGTAAAATTGAAACATCATATTATTTATATCACGTTCAATTATTTTACGAGCGAACTAAAGATACATAAGATAATATAAAGGTACAAGTCAGAACTGAACCGCAGGCGACACTACTAGTATCTATAAATCTCTATGAAATTGATTCCGAGCGCGGCGATATGCCGCGGCTGCACAATGCATATAATTCACGGTCAGCCGCAGTGTCGCCTGCGGTTGTCGCCTACAGCCCATTGCGCAATTGTGCCTTAAAGGTACCTTGCTATGGCTATTGCTATCGCTTTCGTTTTAATTTTTTCATTTCTTACCGCTGAAGGTTTTGAATTGCCTCGCGCTCGTTATTTTTTCTATTGTATTGGTAATAACAATATTAAAGAAAATGAGCGTAAGGTATTTGAAAACCTTCGGGGGTCAATACTAACAAAAGGAAATATATATAGGAATAGCGATAACCTTAGCAATCCCGTTAGGCATTTGAACCCCTGGTATATCAGGGAGCAGCATAGCCTGCAACGCCCTGCGACGACAGATGTTTTTTTTAAATGGTACCTATATAGTATTGGCGTAGCTGCATCATAGGAGACATTAGGACGGCCCACCGAAAAATCTCGCAAGAGTTTCAGCAAGGGATAAATAAAACGACGATTCGATAAAGATAAATAAATAATAAAATGTACCTATGTAGTTCTCCGGTAGAAATTTGCATTCATTAACGCCTTTATTGTTTTATCAGTATAAGGTACCCTAGCTCGTTTCTTATTCTATTCGAGTATTTTAAAGTTTATTTTGATAAATAGTCTCAATGATACGTGCCTCGTTGTTAGGTTTGGTATTATTTTTCTCATGAACAATAAATAATAATAATAATAAATAACAATTAATAATAATAACCAATTAGCCTAGCCTTGGGGCTAAGCACTGTAAGGCTTGAGTTATGGCATGCTAGGGTAACGGATAGAATACATATATTGTACAAATATAAGTATATTTATATAGAAATACATATTAAACATCCAGGACTGGAGTACAAATGCTCGTATTCATCACACAAACATCTGCCCCCACCGGGATTCGAAACCGGGACCTCTCGAGTCGGCGACACCATGAAACAACAACTACTAAAAACAAACAAAACAACAAAAACACACAACTCGGCCATGGAGGTCGATAAACGATGATTGTATTATTACGAATTAAGTAAGGAAACGTATACTGAAAAAAAAAATTGACCCAGGTTAAATGTTTAGATCAATCATCAATTGTTAGGAAGTCAAATAAATAAGTAACATCAATTCGCAATAATTTATTTCGCCTTGCAAAGATAAACAAAATGAAACCTAATTTAGTATAAAAACATGCTTAAATGCATTTCAATTAAACATTCATTAAGAACTAACTACACAACAACGAAATAAAGTGTGATAATCCCTGGCAAGACCCATTCATATACAAAGAATATGACTTATATAAAAAAATAGGTATAAAATAGGGGTGATGACGGGGTACAGTAAAAAAATCTATTAAGTCCGTCAGTTAGATGATCAAAAAATAATGGACACGTATTTTTTCTTTGGACAATCAACCACAAAATGACAAAGTTATAGCGCGTCAAAGTTTGGGACTTGGGGCTCGTGACGTCCGTCACTTTTAAGTGAAAATGTGACCAAAACGTGACGTCATGCGACTTTTCAAATCAATATATCTCGGCAATGTTTATATTATGTGAAAAAAGAAAAAATACGTGTCCAATACTTTTTGATAATCTACCTGATAAACGAAGAAAAAAAATAGTCATCATCCCTATTGTAGTAAAGTTAAAAATAAAATGTACCTCAATAGTTTGATTGCTATTATCGATTTTATTGGGTCCGACCAGGAAGCATACTCCCCAGCAAGACCCAGGCGAATTCAGTACTTTTAATTGTTATTAATGATGTCAAAGAAGTTACAGAATTTGAATAGAAAAAGTAAAAGCACTAATTTATCACTTTTCATTAAGGGAATAATAACATGTTTAATTTAATATTTTCATACTTAATGGTTCCTATAGGAAGATATTTTTAAATGTGTTTGATGTGTCACCCAATCCCTGTGAATAGTTTAGCTAAGCATATGAAAATTTCATCCTTTGAAAAAATGCAAGAACAATGACAACTTTGTTGTTTGCGTTGCTATTAATGTGAGATACAATTTTATTCCTTTTTTTATTTCTAAATTCGCATAGGGCTTGCTGGACAATTTTATATTTAAAATCGTTAATTACAATCAAAGTATCGATATACATTTTTTTTCTATAAGTCATATCCGTTTTTATATATGGGTCTTGCCCGAGAGTATCACACCTAAATAAAATACATTTATTAAGAACCAACTTCTTAATAAATGTATTTTATAGGTAAATGTAAATAATTCCCCATTCTTTTCAACTAAGATTCTAATAACAAACTTTTTACATGGAGATAATAATTATTCGATTATTAATACTGATCCCACTTATAATTAATAATCCACATATTGGTGTTATGGTAATGTGAAAATATAAAAAAATAACATATTAGTATTTAAGGTCGACATGCAGCAAATCTTGTTTCAACTAAAACTAGATCCCATAGAAAAATGACAAGACTTCAATGCCAATTTGGCATCATTGTATGGTCTAAACTAGTTAGTTGAAACGAGATTAGCAAAGTAAATTTCAATTCAACTGAAGCTAGATTTAACTCATCGCAAAGTATCAAAACGTAAATGTCAATTTGATACTATTGTATGGTTTAAATCTTGTATTAGTTAAATTGAGATTTAGAAAAATTGCTGCAAGTGGTCCTTAGTGTAAAATACATTTAATTTATCAATTTTAACGTTTAGCATAAAGTTATTTAAAATTTGTCAAGAGACTTGACTTGAAAAAATGGCACAAAATAATCTCAATTCATTTCAAATATATCATTGACTGATTTACTCTCATTATTTTTGTTCCATGGAAAGAACCATAAGTCCTTTTCCCGCATCAATGTTTCAGCAGCTTCAAATGTTTGAGGCATCTCTTTATTTGCTGTTTCGGGTAACAGAAAAGCCAGAATTGCACACAGTGAAGCAATACAACTAATGAAAGCAAAAGGTAACCAATAGGCGATGGAATCTAAATGTGCGATAAATGGGGATATAACAGAGGCCATATATGCACAAATATGCACAGTGGCTGCTCCTGAACCACGTACGGCAGTCGGTAACACTTCAGCAACCCATTGCGTTGCGGTGTTGGCTGTCATATTGATAGTAAATCTTGAAATGACAGCACATACAACTGATGCTATACTATTTGGTATTAGTGGGGTTAAAATGCTAAATACGGCACAAATCAACATTACTACAATTGTCAACCACCGCCTGCCCACTGGGTCAAGAATAAATGATATCAAAACCAACGAAGGGAACTCCGTTAAAGAAATGAACGTGAATGAGAGGAAGAAGTCATATTTCAACTGGTTAATAGTCCTCGTCGATAAGTCAAATATCAACATAGAACACACAAATTGTATGCAGCTTATAATAAATAATTTTCTTAGTATGGGTCTTCTTAATAAATCAATCAAGCTCGCTTTTTCTGGATCTGTCTGTTGAGCAACCGTCAATTTGAACTGCATCACCATCTTTGGTGATATCTCTTTTTTATTAACTTTAGCAATCGTCATTATTTTCTTTACTGTCTCGTCCACTCTCCCTTTCGATAAAAGCCACGTTGGACTCTCGGGTAGTATAAAATGAGCCAACAACGCTGAAGCCAAGGGTATACTTGTAGCTAAACAGAGTGTTTTCCAATGTCCACATGCAAGAGCGATCCATGGCAGTGAGGTCACACCGGTAGTATAGAAAACAGCGAAAGAGAGATTTGCCATTACAGTCCTGTATTTTGGCGATGTTGTTTCCAAAATGAGAAGGTAAGTCATCATTAAACAATTATCATATGAACACCCAACGAAAAATCGACAGATGGCAAACTCTGTAAAATTGCGGGCATATATACTCCCAACTCCAGCCGAACATCCTATTATATTACTGAGAGTGGCCGCCGAGAGCCTCCCGTAGCGATCAGCAAACAATCCGATCAGAAATCCTCCTATTATAGATCCAATGAAGAATATCGACTGCGCTTTAGCTTGGTTGCTTCGACCATCGCAAACCCAGCCAAGTTCACTAGATATGGTCGGGTAAGGTATTTCCGTCTTATTGAATTCCCATCCATTTTGACAAGATGATATAGGCCACGATGAGTTCGGGTTTAAGCCGTTTTCCAAAACTTCACTCCAGTTAGCGACGTAGGCTTGACAGTGGGAGTATCCAAAACGTGAATTCAAATCGTCTGGTATCGCTAGCGATCGGCGTTCAAATTCCGACAAATTTTGCAGTTCGGGTATCCAACACCAGTGATTCGGTGACACTTCTGTCATGAATAATTGAGAAAAATAAACAAAGGCACCAAAGATATAGAAAGGCCCAACGCAGAAGAACATCATACATTGGTATAGGCCGAAATCACCAGCGGCAGTTAGAAAAGTATCATACTCAATCGTCGGTGCGTTTACTCCCAATAAATCATCTTCTTCAGAATTACTTTCACGAATATGCTTTTTCTTTTTTTCAATCATCTTCACTACTTATATTGTGCTTAAAAAGGAGACGTCAAAACTACAACATCGTTATCAGTGGACTGAGAAACATTAACTGATGTTTAATAACACTTTATAAAAAGATAAAAATGCCATGCCGCTTTATACTCTTCACTAAGCCGCTACTACAGTAATACAACTTGTTTGCATTAAACTCGCATCATCGATTCTTTTGTTATCTCTCCATTTTTTGATTAGGACCACATATCAAACAAATAAAGTTCATCTATTTTACATTATTAATAAAATACAAAGTAGGCCCTTGCAGAAGATAAATTATATTAACGTTGAGAAGAATCTTAAAATTAAAGAAGACCTAAGAACATATTATCGGCTTGCGACTATCATGCGATTAGACTTACCTCACTTGAGTTACTTACCCTTCATACAAGCAGAACAGCTTTATATAGTGTACCAAAAGCGCACGACCTTCGCTTGCCACTGAAGGTAACTACGATTCTGCCACTTCTACAACTTCTTGACGGGAAACCTGTTACTTTATGTTAGCACCCTTAGACACTGTATCACCGTTGAAATAAAAATTAGACATGGCGGCGCTAGGTTACATGAATAACTAGCGGGCGCCCGCGACTTCGTTCGCGTGAAGTTACTTAGAAATAAAGGTTTACTGCTCGTTCCCCGTAGGCGATAGCGTGCTAATATGTAGCCTATATGTTGACCCGACTTCTTAATAATATTCGTGTCAAATTTGAAGTAAATCCATGCAGAACTTTTTGAGTTTATCCCCGTCATACATACAGACAAACAGACAAATATTCTAAAAAACTATATTTTTGGCTTCGGTATCGATTGCAGATCACACCCTAGGTATTCTTTTAAAAAAATATTTAATGTAGAGTTTTGAATTAGTATGAGTTGTGTCGCATTCATTGATAAATAATTACAAAAAGGAAAAACCTGTATTGATGATAAAAAAAATATATTTTTTATACTTTTAGGTACAAACGTAAATGCAATAACAAATACTTAAAACGATTCTATGAATAAAAAAGTACAAATATCTAGTAGGTATACATATCCAAATATTTTTAAAGTATGAAACTTAAAATAACTTAATCAATTAGTGTATTGGTCGAATAGTTCCCATCTTAAACTGATCATGCTTACTCACAGGATCATCGCTGTAAATATCAAATATACGATTGTTATATGAATAAACATTGTACTTTGGAACTTTCGCGTTGCATTTTAAATATAACATTAAAACATTAAAACGCGCACTTTGACATTATTGACAATAGAATCAATAACTGATTCCTCTTTACCAACCTTATCCATTCATCTGCTTCCATTGGTGAAAACATGTCAATACATATGACAGATATACTCAGTAATACCAGTAGTAATGTGATGAATAATATTTTAAATACTCGATATCGATACAACTCTTCAGTCTTAAATTTCATGAAAATACTCGTTGTACAGGGGCGTCTGTTTCAAAATATATCTTTATCAATAAGTTTCTTTACATAAAACTATTTAAAATTATTTAATACCTGAACCAATTTCGACATATAAATCTTAAGGCTATAAAAAGAGTTAACTTACTGTGGTTCTGGCAAAGCAATAGGGGAACTCCGCCCTAATCCCACAGGCATTAACGAAGCTTTCTCTTTGGGAAGTAAAGTTATTTCCATATCAATGACACCCTGTAACAAAAAAAAAATATTAGCTATAAGAAGGTGGATTTTCAAGTTTCGGAAAACTTTATAGTAATATAAGTTATTTACGGGATTGTTACCATGTCCCTTGTTTTTAGCGAGTTTCCGATATTTCGTCACTGTTGTTAAATTGTCGAGTGTCTAGAATCTTGTGGTTCGTATGTGTAAAACCGGAAATAATCAAAAAAGTGTCGTATCACGATCCGATACTGTAAGTGTTGTGTGTCGAGAACAGTTTCGAGTGAATAGTGAGAATGTGAACAGTGGTACGGGTATCGAACGCAATAAAAGACTTCGTCGGGGGGTAGACCGATATGTCTGCCAATAACAGCCTACCCGCAATTACTTCAGTTACTCTGTGATAAATGGCGCTTGCAACAGTGCCGAAATATTGGAAACTCGCTAAAAACAAGGTACATGGTAACAATCCCGTAAACAACGTCTATAATAAATAAATATATATAAATATTGCTAACACTCACATCAATTAGCCTAGCCCCAAAGTAAGCACTATTAAGGCTTGTGTTATGGGATACTAGGGTAACGGATAGAATACATATACTGTACATAAATAAGTATATTTATATAGAATTACATATTAAACATCCATGACTGGAGTACAAATGCTCGTATTCATCACACAAACATCTGCCCCCACCGGGATTCGAACCCAGGACCTCTCGAGTCGGCGACACCATGAAACCCGGCGTACAAACCACTCGGCCACGGAGGTCGTCATAATGTTAGTGACCATGAAAGTTTAAAGCAATATTTGAAAAAAATATTAACATCTGATATATCAATATACTTAGAATACAAAGGACTACTATCCCCAAGATAATTTAATAACATGAACGACAAATGAACTAACTCAACTCCTATTTTGTCTATTTAAATAACATCAAACGAATAAATATCCTCCCAAATTGAAGAACGTGATTTAAGATATTCTACTAGTATTATGAATGTAAAAGTTCGTTACTCAATCACGCAGAAACTACGAAAAGGTTTGGAATGAATTTTGATACGCATATAGTTTATGACCTGGATTTAGAATGAAGTATACTTTTTATTCCGGATAAACATCAGGCTTCTGTATGATGGTCAAAAAACTAAAGTTAACGCGCACGAAGTCGTGGGTGGCCGCTAATATAATAATAAAATTGACAATGTATATAATAATAATGATAGTGTTTAATTAATTTTACTTAAACCAAGATTCAAATTAATAGTGAAATTTAAACTACCGCAAATTGGGACTGATTCTGATCATATTTTTTTTAACTAAAATGGATGATTTACTTGATCCTACTAGCTAGGCAAGTTTAGTTGTGATACTCAAAATGTCTTACAGCTAAAAGTTTTCTTTCGATATCAGTATCAATGGTCCATAGTGGCCACCAGCCTCGCATGGATCGCATAGTGAATAAATTTACAATCTTAGCCTTGGCCACTGCTTCTAAGTTACACTGACTCGGAAATTTGTCTCCTCTTGGCAATGCATTTAGGTTCAAAATGACCGTCCCTGAAATTAAGATGCTTGCTGAGTATTATGCAAATGGATAAAAAGTAGCACCAGAATTTGTATAAAGTATGTATTATATATATAAATTCTATTCCTTCACCTATAAAATCGTCGGCCACAGCTTCAGTGTCCAAAACTTGAACAACTAAAATAGGAGGTACTTTCTCCTTATATTCTGTGAATGTATCTTTTTCTTTCACCACTATCTATAACCAGTTAATGAAAAAATCTTTTAAATTAGCTATAAGCGACAAGCATTTTTGAAAAAAAAAACATATTTATGTTTGGAATATTCCCAGTGACATAAGCGTGTTAAAGGAAATTTTTGAGTAATACCTAAAGTACTATTTTTAAAGTACTTAAGTACACATTGAGCGTCCTAAAACGTTATGAATTTAGGTACCTTTCTTTCAACATGCTGGTATTGGAAATCAAATATCATTCTCCAGTTAAAACTTCCCTCTCCGTTGGTACATCTGCAGTGAATGTCTGTATCTTGCGCTTGACTAGTGGAACCAATCCACCTTTTAAAGTAACATATCCTATTATACAGTTATTCGAATCTAATTATTATGTCAAATCAACTGCCCTATATTGTGTGATGTTCTTTGGTATTTATTATAATGTTGTATATTATATTATCGGATCATTAATATTAGAACGCAAAAACACAAATACAAAATATGACCAAATATTTTCATACGCTCTAACAAAAATATCCGGATATTTCTTGCTGGCAATGCTATCCTCCAACTTCAACTTTTGGACATCCCAAATGATCAGTCTTAATTCATAGCTAACAGCTTTCCGTGGAGTTATATCAATCGGTGGCGGCACATACAATTCTGTGTCCAAAGGGAATATGTCCACCCACATTTGAATCTTGCCCTATAGATAACATTGGAAAGCTTTAAAGTCATTTTTTTTACATCCAGGAGTTAAATAGGCTGAGTTGTGTTGCGCAACAGTATACATTTACGTACATGTTCATAACCTGGTTTCTCAGGATTATATAGCGTCCTAGTTTCCAAATGCTCAGGTACTAATCGATAACCACAAACGGGCAAGGTGTGCCACTGATGCAATAAGGTCAAACATATATTCTCCTTGCGTTCTGATGCCGAAACATATATTTTGTCTGCCCATGAAAAATACCACAAAAATAAATTGAACAAGAAACAATCGATCAATTGTAATTACAATAAGAATAATTACAAATACAAAGAATACTGAATGGCTCGAGTTGAAACGGTGATGACACATTTCCGAGTTGATATATCTTCTACGACCATTATTATAAATTGTTGCTATTTAGATACTAAAACCACAGTATATATATAAGCTTCTAAAGCAGTACTGTAACTAGGCCATTTTGTCGAGATAAATCTGTCTATATCGATAGAATAAACATGTCATATGTTTATTCTTTACAATTTCGAAATTAAAAAAATCAGAGCTACCTAAGCTCGCTACTCATTTTTTCTAGTCTTGGTATAACGACGATGAAATCATTTATTTTCTGTGCTAAAACGACCTATGCGGAACAAATATTTTTTGGCAAAAAAAAATTGGGAAAGCCACCACTGAAATTGCGATGTTACCAATTTATCAGTTCCGAGAGTCTTCAATTAGCACACTTAACTTTGGCAACTAGAAATCTAATACTGGCATATTTTGATACCTCAATAATATTATTTGAGAAGTTTTTGACATCTTGAAGCAGCAACACTATCAAAATATTATAATTATCTTTACCCCTATCAGAATCTTTATATTCTACACCGTTCACTATAATTGTCCCACATTCCAGATAAATTGGTGGTGGCAAGTGATTCTTTTCACAAATCTCTTCCAATATTTCAGAGGGCTTGTAGCAATCTCTCCATTCATACGGGCCCCTTCTGCAAATCGGGTTTCTTAATAACATTTATCAACATTTATTCATTTATTAGTAACATACATTAATAAATATTCAAAAAAAAGGTGTTTAATAAAATTCATGGTACACATATGGAATATCAATCATAAGAGTTGTATTGATAGTTTAGTAATATATATAAAACTCAAAGGTTACTGAATGACATAGTGATCTATCAACGCACAGCCCAAACCACTGGACGGATCGGGCTGAAATTTGTCATGCAGGTAGATGTAATGACGTAGGCATCCGCTAAGAAAGGATTCTGATCAATTCTACCCCGAAGCGAAGCGAGGGCGGGCCACTAGTAAGTAATACACTCACAAGTTATACTTGGAAGATATGCCGACGCGTGCCCTGTGCTTGGTATATATTCGATCTTCCAAATCAATGGAAGTGCTACCAATCAAAGCATCCGCCTGAATCGGATCGAAATCATATAAAGATATCGTCAGCATGTAGTCCTCTGGTAATTTACTACGAAATTCGTACAATCTGGAAAATAAAAACAGAGCATCAATATTTTCCTTCACTAATATTCTTTATGAACTACCACGTCGATGCAACATTTTAGATAATTTTTCTGTGATAATTACTTTGGGCTTGAAAAATTTATAAAATTGTTTTTTCTCACCTTCCAAAAACAGGATTCACGTTATTCTTCACAAAATTATTCCGATCTCCTAAAATCTTCTTCCCACAACTAAGTATCACATAAGGGTCAGACTGACCTGTGAAATCTATCTTTTTTAGATCAGTACCCTTTACTACATAAACACGTACTAAATATTGAGCCGGGTCGTTATTCGGAAAATCATCAAAATAACTGTAAAAAAATAACACCAATACCAAGAAATGCTTTTATCATATTCATCAAACATCCTTATCGGGTTCAGACATCACAAGTCTCTTTATAAGTTGTATTTTAGTTAAAATAAGAAATTTATGTGCATTGTGACGCAATAATAACCATAACAAATTACCCTATTATCTCGGGATCCGTTCTATTTAACTAAAATGTAATTAATCCTGATATTTATTTAATATCTTGACATAGGTTTTTAAAGTAATTCAGATTGTTCTTAATGAAACTATTAATGATTTATTTTGTTATTAATGCTTTTGATTGTACTCCTTGGAGGTTATTCGTCCAAATCCTAACCTTATGCATATTTTTTCCTTAATTGCACCGACTTACCCATTATTCAAATCTATTCCACTGGGTGTGACAGCTATAACATCTTCAGGTGGTGGCCACTTGTATATTGCTATGCCAACTTTCAGAACACCACAGTACAACCTTTCATCTTTCGAAGGAATCCCTGTCTTTTTACCATTATACAATTTTAGAGACGTGCACCAATCTTTGAATTTCGAAAATTCTGCTTGATTTTCTAATTCTGTGTCATATACCTTTATTAAAAATATCATAGATATCAAAAATATTAACTGACGACAGGTCTGTAGTTTACTGGGAAAACTTTTTAATTTCGTGTTTATCGACTTTTTCGGAAATAAACAAAAGCTGATTTTTTTAGTAACGGGATTGCTAACGACTTTATATTTTGCCAGTTCCCGATATTGAAAACAAGGTACATGGAAGCAATTCCACAAATAACAAAAATGATTTAGTATAAGTGACCTCGTAATTTTAAAATAAACAAAAACTTTTTGTTATTTATAAAAGAAGTATTTATAATAAAAGAATATTTTGTACCACAATTTTGTCAACATTATTTGATTTGTTCTCAACTATGTTGCCGTCCTGAAAATAAGGCACATTAAAATAAAATGCATGAGAAATAATAAATATGAAAATACAAAAAGTCACATAAGATAATGTCTCATGTCTGTTCCAAATAGTAGGTATGGCTGCCGCAATGAGAACATATTTTGATGCTATATTGTGTCACGTATCATCTTCAATTCATTCAATCATCAACTAACAAGACTTAAAAGTTAATGGATACGTCATCATTTATACCTATTTATTATGTGCGGCTGTTAGTCTGTTATAGAAGTAGCATAAAATAGGTTCTATAACAATATAAAAAAATTGTGCATGAACTCATTGAATATTTGGTTTTCCAACTCACCTGGCGTTCATTATTGCGAATGGAGCTTAGTTGGAAAATGGTAGGAGTGTAGAAGAAACATTTTTTCTAATTAGGGGTCCAAATTTCATATAAAAAATGACGTTACTTACTTTGATCGAGTTGAAGTATCTAAACCACCAGTCTTTTTGGTCGAGGGACTTTGTGACTTTCTTTATGACCCTATAATGGTCTTTTTCCTTTTCGAACATTGGTAAAAGCACATATTCTTCTTCAGTGGGACCTCTGCTGTTGAATAATCTTGCCCACGCGGATCTTTTAGCTCTATGTTTATGGTTTATATGTCTCAACCTTGTCCTATTAGCGGCAGAGAAGTCACCGTGTCTATCGTCCTTTTTTTTCTTGTAAATTACCGGAGTCACTGTAAAAATGGATATTAAAACTTTTTTTTGAGTTAGTCATAGGTACGATGTAAAAAGCTGGAAACGTCTGAATGCTAAATAAAAACTTTTTGATCTTCCTTAACAGGTAAAATGTAAATTTATTCGAAACTTCATATTATTTTAATAGTAAAGCGTTAAATACTAATCCATTTCCCATACAATCTTCCTTCTCCGAATTTTCCTTTATCATTATTTATTACTGCGACAAAAAGTTTTTATCTTTGTATACCAAAACTATTTGAGTGGATTAGCTGTGCAAGCATAACCGACAAAATTATAATTACTTTAGAATTTATTAAATAAACGAGGAAAAAATCGTCAAATATGGCGTATGAAAATTTAAAGCTAATCTTACCTTGACAGAAATCTGAAGACATTATAGATGCAGACTTTAACGATAGTTCTCTCTCGCTTTGCGCAATCCAGCTAACTGTATATTTTTTTGGGTGCTTCTCTTCATTGGTACCAATAAAACGAGCTCTCCCAAAAGTTCCACTGTCATATAACCTGACACTTAACGGCGACGTACATGTATGGTTCAGAGGAGCTTCAAAGACATGGCTGGACTTGCCGTTGGAAAAATTGCAGTTAACCTGATTTTCCGTGATGACGTCTGATTTAATTGTAAGTTCATCGATTTCGAGGACCACACAAGGTCTTCTTATGAGATTCATATCGCGTAAGCCCCACCAATAGACATCAACTCTAGAATTGTGAAAATAATTTGTACTCATATACAGGGCGTCCCACGGCTACCTCACACGGAGGGAAAGTATATTAAATATTGAAGATAGGACATTTTACTGAAAGAAGACATCATTTTATTTTTAATAATAACTAGAACTGCATTCACAGGTTTTTTAAAAATCGCCTGCTATTACTAGGAATCAAACTCGTGAAATTTCGAAAAAAATAACACTGCATATTTTATGATAACCATCGAAAGGGTTAATCATAAGGATTATTTTTTGCTAAATAACATAGCATTTTAAATGAAAGGAATGTGAATTACGTGATAAAAATAATAAAGTGATTTTTAAACTGTAGTACGTATGCATTTCTTTTTGAACTCACAGTTACAATGCGACTGGCAAAAATTTGTAATAATAATAATCCGAAAATGGAACACATAAATTTTCAAGTGTCTGTTCTTTTCTTTTTTGTGAGTTTCATTTTCATTTATTTGCAATTTTTGTAAATTTACTTACCATGGCTTATTAAAATCTTTCTTTATCTCTATCTTTCTTTCATTATGAAATGAAATGAAATATTTATTAAAACCATAACAAAGATAAAATAATAATAGTGATCGATAATAACTGCATTAGTTATAAAACTGTGTCGCAGTTATTAACGCCCACCTCCAGAAAACAATTTTTGCTACAATAATTTTAATTTTAATCCTAATTTAATATTAAAAAAGAAATTAAATGCGTGTATGTGTCCTATTTGTGTGTATGTATGTGAGGTTGTGTGTGTGTGTGTGTGTGTGTGTGTGTGTGTGTGTGTGTGTGTGTGTGTGTGTGTGTGGGTGGGTGCGTGTGTGTGTGTATGTGTGTGAATGTGTGAGGTATGTATAGCCCAAATTTACATCAGATGATCCGTGGGCCAATCGCCTAAGCAGATTGCTTTGGAAAATGCTATCGCTTACGATTTCATTTTGTTATTTCTAACCGCCGAAATACCTCACGCTCATTTTCTTTAACATTGTTATTACCAATGCAAAAGAAAAAAAAAGAGCGCGAGGCATTTGAAAACCTCAGGGGGCTAGAAATAACAAAATGAAATCGTAAGCGATAGCGTTTTCCAAAGCAATCCAGTTAGGCGATTGGCCCCCAGGCCAAACCCAATAAAGTACCGAATAATGCCTCTGTATCAGAATATGTCAGGCTATGAAGCCATTTCATAGTTTTTATCCTGCATTTTCTAAGAGTAAGAGGAAATATATTCAGAACTCCGTTTACCTTGTTGTATAAAACAGAAGATATAAAGCAGAAGTGGCATCTAGCTACATTTAATCTTACACTGCCTGTCTTACACAAAATGTAAGGTGTACGTCTACTTAACGAAATACGGTCATCATATGGCATCTGCGAGTGTTTACGTAGTATTACATTAAGGAAGTAAATCTGCCTAACTGACGAAACATTAAAAAGTGCAAAGAGTTCAGGTGTTGGAAAGGTAATTGGTTTGAAATTAATTATTTTAATAACAACCCTTTGAGCCCTTTCCAGACGTAAGAGGTGAATTTTACCTGAACAACCCCAGATAACAATGCAATATGATATAAGTGATTTCCCCAAAGCGTAATAAGTAGTCCTGAGAGTTTCCAAATCTACGACATTTCTAAGATTTTCAAATATGAACATTAACTTCCTGTCTCTAGCTACTGTAGTATTAATATGTTCCTTAAAAGACAAAACAGCATCAACCCAAACATCAAGGTATTTAATGTGAGGAGCACGCTGGATTTGCTAACAGCTACAGTTTTTGCATTCGTTTACTCGTAATTGATGAGCGCAAATGGTAAAAGAAGAAGATGGAAGAGAGTGTGAACGTGCTGAAAATGTAATGAATTTGGTTTTGTCTAAATTGAGGGTTAGCAAATTTATGGATAACCATTTCATCACTTCCTGTTTCCTGTAGTGCAAATTCATCGTTTGAAGAAACTTCACTCCAGGTACTTCCATGGATTATCATAGCAGTATCAACCGCATATACAGTGATTTTGTAGTTTGGAAGAATCAATTTACAGAGGTCATTGATGTAGATATTAAAAAGGGTAGGACCTAGGACACTCCCCTGCGGAACACCGTAACTGATATGTTCATCCTGACTTGTAATATTGTGTATCCTAACACACTGCGAACGCTCACCAAGATAACTTTTAAAAATATCCAACGCAACACCTCGAACACCGATCCTCGACATTTTTTCAATCAGAATAGGGACAGAGACAGTGTCAAAGGCTTTAGAAAGATCCAGGAACACGCCAATTGTCTTGAGTTTTGATTCAAGGTTCCTAACTATTGATTCGCTAAGTTGTAGAACTGCAGCTTCGGTTGATTTATTTTTCCTAAAACCAAACTGATTTGGCGCAATAATGTTATTTGCATCAAGATAATTGATGAGTCTTTTGTTTAGGATCTTTTCCAGGATCTTAGACAATACCGTTAAAACCGAGATAGGCCTATAGTTTGTAACACTGCCCTTGTCTCCACTCTTGTGAATCGGTTGTACAAGGGCTTTTTTGAAAGCTGTTGGAAAAATACCGGACGATTCTTTTGCATGTTTTGAGCTATGTATCAACATAGCTCAAAACATGCAAAAGAACAGGGGCCAGTGAAGTCTTGGCTGTTTTAATTATAGCAGTAGGAATCCCATCCCATCCAGTTGCAGAAGTATTTTTTAAATCATTAATAATGCTTTCAATTTGTTTACCATCTGTAATAAAAAGGGACATCGAATTTATTGGTGAATTTTTTTTTCTGAAATTACAGCATTTTGTGGTACAGAAATACTGAGAGCCAAATCCTTGCCAACATTGGCAAAGTAATGATTTACTGCATTTACTGCACAATTTGGGTCATTTGAAAGCGAAAGAAGTTGATCGGCATGTGTGCGCGATTGATTAATGTTGCCTATCTTTTTTATTAGAGCCCAGGTTGCTTTTGGATTTTTTTTGTCTTAGCAAATTCAGCTTGTTCATATACTCTTTTACCCTTTTTATTAAATTATTAAAGAAGTTTTTATACCTTATGTAGGAAATCTTTAGAATCACGTTATCAGGATCTTTTTATGTTTTATGACATAGTTTATCACGGTTTCTCAAGCATCTTAACAAACCTGGTGTGATCCAAGGCTTAATTATTCTCTTTTTACTTGAGGTCGACACTATATTTGTATACCTAGTTACAATGGATGAAATTATATGGACAAGTTTATTAGTAGCCTGATCTGCGTCATGGCAAGAGAAAATAGGTGAAAAATCGATGTGTTGTAGCTCCTGGGTACATGCTTCTATATTGATATGCTTGCGAGAGCGCTCAGGGTCTGTTGACCTAATTTTAGGCCACAGCAAAGTATTACGGGTGCTTGATCGGTAGTAAATGAGTCCAAAACAAATGTAATAGCACTAGATTTGGTCCTGAATATAACATGATCAAGACAGTTACGACCTCTTGTAGGAAAATCATGAGCTGGCAGCAAACCATGAGACGCAGTAATATTCAAATATAAGTCTTAATGGGGATCTGTGTTGGCTGGAGTAATATTGATATTAATATCCCCAACAATAGCAATACTGGGATAATTACTGATACTTTTTAAGGTGGCGTCCATCGAATTCATGAAACCATCAGTATTTATATACGATGGTGAGCGATATAGAGCGATAATTGCTAATTTGTCTGTAAATTTTAAAATTAAATAGTTTGCACCACTAAAGCAGGGTACCTCAAAGAGAACGGAAGGGTTTCTCTGACGTATGCTACTACTCCTTCGTTTTGGTTACCATATGAAGTTATACACGAGTTGAAGCCGGAGAGACTCGGCAAAGACGGACATATGCTTAACCTATTGTGCTATCGCCTACGCTGTTTCTTCTTCATATCAATGATATGCTTCAAATTGATGGCATTCATTGCTATGCAGACGACAGCACGGGTGATGCTCTATATACCGGCCGCGCCAACATTTCACTGGAAAACGTCATCGAGTGCCGGAACAAACTTGTGTCTGAAGTCGAAACTTTGTTAAACCGAGTAACGAATTGGGGCCGACTAAATCTAGTCCAGTTTAAACCTACGAAGACACGAGTATGCGCGTTCACCGCAAAAAAAATACCATTTGTCGTATCTCCTCTTATTGAGAACACTCCTCTAACTGCCTCAGCTAGTATTGGAATTCTTGGCGTTGACATATCGAGTGACGTCCAGTTTCGGGATCATTTAGAGGGCAAGGCCAAATTGGCCTCTAAGAAGCTTGGTGTGCTCAATAGATCGAGAATGTACTTCACACCGGCCCACCGACTGCAGCTTTATAAGGCACAGGTTCGGCCTCACATGGAGTACTGCTCTCATCTTTGGGCGGGGGCACCCCAGTACCAGCTTCTCCCTTTGGATCGCATCCAGCGCCGAGCGGCTCGAATCGTCGACGACCAGGACCTTTCCGATCAGCTTGATCCTTTGGCTTTGCGTAGGGATGTAGCTTCGCTCTGCATCTTCTATCGTATTTATCACAGGGAGTGTTCTGAGGAATTGTTCGGATTCATTCCAGCTGCTGCATTTCGCCATCGTACATCGCGACAAAGATTTCATCCCCATCATCTTGATGCGTGGCTATCCACAACCGTGCATTTTTGTCGAAATTTTTACCACGTACGACAAAACTGTGGAATATTTGTCGCCAGCAGTGTTTCCGGACCAATACGACCCAAGAACCTTCAAAAAAAGAGCGTACTCCTTCCTTAAAGGCCGGCATCGCATTTGTGATACTCCTGGTGTTGCAAGTGTCCATGGGCGACGGTGATCACTTACCATCAGGTGAGCCGTCTGCTCGTATGCATAAAAAAACATAAAAAAAAACAACATTCAGACAAGACTATTATATCGACTGAAATAGATATACGCTATAATAGTCTTAATAAATAACAGAAATTTCGGCCTATACCTAATATTTACCTGAAGAATGTTTAGGTACAAAGT